TGCGCGCACACACACACACACACACACACACACACACACACACACACACACACACACACACACACACACGCGGAGACGTGCGAACAGCGCGTGCGTATCTAGAGAAAAAACGAAGCAGTCGGTTGAATCGCGACTCTGAATTCGGCTACGCCGTGCTTCTCGCATGATTCCCGACGTCTCGCGCGACGATGCGGTGTACGCGCGAACGGCAAGCGCGGCGGGAACGCGCTGCGACTCGCGCGTTTTTTTTACTCGCGCCAACCGCCCCGTCGCAATCACATACCTTCCAATAATCTCTGTATCAGGTTGTCGATATTCAAGTCGACATCCGCCATTTTTTCTTGCCACTGACTGACTGACCCGATGTTCGCGGACTGGCTCGTACCCGCCTAGCGCGCGCATTTGCACCGCTGCGATGCGAGACACATAATACTGGCGCGTCCGGGTATACGTGCTGTTATCGACTGCCGGTTTTCGGGGGTGAACGGCGGAACGGCGGGGATGCGACGATGACGCATTTGTGAGCAAGTCGGGAAGATCTATAAGAGCGTTATGAAGCGTTTTCATATTGCGTTCGATAGTCGATGACATTTCCATTTCCAACAATGCGATCAACCTGACACCCAATCGGAAAGTATGCTTTCTAGGAACTTTTGCCAATGCCAATCCTTTTGATTGAACAATTAATATAGTGAGAATCCACCATGAAGTTCGTATCGAACCATTGAAATATATAACATATTGGAACCTTTCCCGTGAAGAACCAATGTGTGGTTTGCGGCCAAAGGATAACGATAGTAAAATGGGGATATTTGCCTTTCTTCCACATTTACTATCGTGTATGGTGGGGGATATTAAAAACGAAAACAGACATGAAACAGACGTCCCCGTCCAACATAATTCTCTCTCTTTTACCCCTCTTTTTACTCTCCAACATAATTTTCTTTTTTTTAGATCATCCCCACTCCATCAAATATGCATTGAAAATCAATATTGTATATTGGAAATTGGAATGTAAAAATCAGGACAAAGTACAATAATTGAAATTATAGTTTGTAGATTTTTTACACAGTTTTAATATTGCTTTATAATATATTTAAATGCATTTATATTGTTTTACATCTATAAAAAGTATAACAAAAAAAGAGTAAAACACGATCGCTATTTTACAAATACGAACGTATTTCCTACATACCAAAATCTTATTCTGTTTTAATTTATTTAATAATATAGCTGAAATTATACCAAATCTATTTGAAATGACACAGTTGTTAGTAACTTATAATAATTTATAATAATGCGATTCTCACGCACGTATGCATGTCATTAAAATCGTTTTTTCAAAAAAATCTAATGCATTTGTCAAAGTATAATGAAAAGAAGTAAATTTGTAAAATAATTTTCCTGATTAACCATACTTCCGATGATAATCTGGTGGTGGATCCGTATAATCTTGTTGGAGATTAAAGAATTCAGCATTATTTTTTTGTAAATATTGTAAAAATTCATGAAAATGCGATAGCAATAATTGTATACTCCTTTCGTCTAAAGGTGTATAAGATAGCATACCGCCCAGTCTCACTGTAAATAAAAACTCAAAATTATTATTCAGGTAACAATGAATGGACTCTGTACATTTCTTAAAAATTTAGGCTTTACCGAACAATCGAAGTAGATGAAACGCTCCATACAGCTGACTCGGCAAAGTATCTGGATTATCGTTCATTATCTGTATAAATTGTGGTCTTTCCCATTTGTATAGCAATTGAAGACCTAAGGTAATGTTAAAATATTCACGAATACCTTTTGTTATTTCTAATGTACTTTCCCTAAAATAAATAACAAAAATGTCAAGGCATGTAATAACATAAGGATGTAATAAATTTTTAATTATACACTGTACCTAATATCATTTGTTTTTCCAGATGATTTTGCCTCTACATAATCGTCTAAGATTTTGTCAACTGTATTTTGTACAGGCAATGCAGGTAGTTTATGATGTTTCAGTATTACTTCAGATTCATCTATTAGTACAAACTTCAATTCTTCAGGTAACTTGATCTTGACTTCCACTTTAGTAAGAAATTCTTCTGTTTCACCAGATGGTTCTAATCGACTGGAAAAGATCAATTTCTTGGAATTAATTGTAATATATTATAGTGATATCAGATATTGTGCTTAATAACAAACCTTCTTTTTTTACGCGTAGGTTCAGATCCGGAATCATGAGAGGATGAAGATGTTGCTGTACTACTTGTACTCTTGTTAAAACGACTAATACCTTTCTCAGATGTTGCAACAGGAGTGCTTGACCGACTATCTGTATCTTTCTCTTTAGTACCTTCACTTCTCCTCCCCTGTGTTTTAGCTGTGGTACTTCCCTTTCTGTTCTTTTGAGCAGATTGTTGATTTGAGTGTGCTCTCTGAACTTCCTTTTGTCTCTGCACATTTGCCTCATTGTACTTAAGTACTCTACTTTCAGGGACCCATTCATCCCAGCTATTATTATAAAAATGTAGTTCAGAATATATTTTAATTTTATTATTGCAATTAATATATTCTGTATAAATTTATACTTTGTACATTGCAAAAAAATTTGTACAGATATAAACTGAATAATCGATTTTCTCGTCTTATATGGATCTTAATATATCGCATTTAGTTTTTTTTTATTATATCAGATTATCATATTTTTCAAAAATAATATAAATGTTTAGCCACAATTTATAAAGATATGCATATTGCTTAAGGTAGTTCCAACAATTTCTCAATTATTCAAGATTTATATAAACTTTAAGAAATAAATGTATACAATATCAGGTATTATTTCAATTTTTTTAAATTTTTTACACATAGTTATTAAAATATCCTTCGTTAAACATGTCATTTACTCAGTGATTTTCATAAGGTAATCAGATAAAATCAGACAATTTTGTTTAATTATAAGAAAACTACTTTTAAAGTATTTACAAAAAATTGAATATAATTAGATAAATATGTTATAAAAACCATATTTAAATTTTGCGAAGATTTGCCACATTATTGTTCAATAGTTTTTATGACAAAAATGACACAATTTAATATCATGCATGGAGAACAAAAAGATAGCAGCAAGAAGTATATCGTCATTTGCGTGTGAAAAATACAGTCATTAAGTAAAACAACAATTGTTTGAACTGCTGTTTTCTACCATATTTTCTGTATATACCTAACTCTACTTACTTTCTATATTTTTGGCAACAATTGTATACCGTTGAAACTACCTTAATATATAAAATATAAATCAAATATGTGCATATGCAACAGCATATGCTTACTTTTTATTCCAACCAGCATAATGAATGAAATATCTGACTTGCTTTTCCTTAGTGATGGAGGACTTCAAACATTTTGCTTCATAGATCAATGGCCCATGAAAGCACAGAACTTTCTCGCCTAAAGATATATCAGTAATCACAATTAAATGTATAAAGTTAACATATTTATAAAAAAAGATATTAAAAAATGTATCTCTTATTTTGTAAAATTAGTTTACTAAATACTACAAGACCTGCAGAAAAAAAACTCAATATTATACCTTCTTGAAATTTACATTTTGGTGGCATTTTTGTGTCTTGAGTTATTTCGATTAACACGGAAATTATCTTGCGTCTTATCAATTACATAACTAATTCAAAAATTAGCAATAACAAAAAACAATTAATCTCTCACAATTATCTTCGAAACAGTATGTATCCTCAACTGCCGCACGTTTTGATGGTTATGTCGACTATACTCAACACCACTCAACACTGGATTTGTTTTTTTTAGCTGCACTGGACTAAAACAGAACAGTACAGGACAGATAGATAAAGGCTTAAGGCCGGAGCACAGACTTTTGCATAAAGCATAACGCATAAGCATAAGGAAATTGATTGGTCCATTTCCTTATGCATTTGCTTAAGCCGGGAGCACAAGCTTTTACATAAAGCATAACCGTAATAACTTCGTATAG